AATAGCTCCAATCTGGTAGAAGAGAGAGATCACGCCCCACGAGAGATTGACAGAGGACGAACCGACTACCGGAGATTACTATTTTCTTTGATTCTCCATTCTCTCTCTCAAAGCTTGTATCTCCATTTTTCATACCTTTGAATCAATAAAATACCTGGCAACTAAAGCCATTGAAGAGTGGACGTAGGTCGAATTGACCGAACCACTATAAATTGTGTCTTCTTCAATTTTTTCATTGATTTCATTGCATTTATTATCTACACTTAACGGGTGGTGTGCAAAACCATTTTTGTGCACCATCAGTTTGGCGCCGTCTGTGGGAAATTCGACAAAATTCTCACTCATGAACATTACATCCATTAACTAATGGCGATCACTACTCGATCCATGAACCAACACGAAGACAATCCTCCACGAGAGGAGGAGGTTGCTCCCCCGCCTATCAACCCTGTTCCGGATACTCTAGCCCCGAATCCCCAACAAATATTGGAGACCATGCAGCAATTGGTTGCTCAAAACTAACAGTTACTGCAACTCATACTTGCTGGACAAGGAGGAGCACCACACGGAGGTGCCCAACATGGAGGACCCCAAGGTGGAGCACCACACGGAGGTGCACAACATGGAGGGCCCCACGGAGGTGCACAACATAGAGCACCCCAAGGAGCTCCACATCCTGGACATCAAGGAGCACCACGCCCTGTTGCTCCACGCCCGGGTGCCCCATTGGGCACCTCACTTCGGGAAGCCCAACATGAGGGAGCTGCACCTCCCCCTCCCCTTGCTTTCCAGGGATAGGACCCTTATCTCAAGGAGGATGAGGGTGAAAACCAAAGCATGGGGCATGGAAGCCACTTCCATGATCATTCCATAGGAGCCCCCAATCATTGGGACGAGAAGATAAAGGAGGTACAAAATCAACTCGGTGATGTCTTCAATGCCATGAAGGCACAAGGACCCGAAACTGTTGACCAATTGGTAAGGCGTACTGATACCCCTTTCAAACCTGATGTAGCAAACTACCCCCTCCCTCAGAAGTTCAAAATGCCGTCTGTGGAGACCTTTGATGGAACAAAGGATCCACTGGACCACCTCGACACTTACAAGACCTTGATGCAATTGCACAACGTACCAGACGAAATCATGTGCAGGGCATTCCCAACCACATTAAAGGGGTCTGCCCGACAGTGGTTTGCTAAGCTCTCCCCCGCCTCTATTACCTCTTTTGCCGAGCTTAGCAGATCATTCGTCTCACACTTCATAGGAGGGCGTCGCCACCAGAAGCCAGTTACGCACCTGCTTAGTATAAAGCAGGACCGCGAGGAGAGCCTAAGGAGTTACCTCACTCGTTTTAACGAGGAGGTACTCCAAGTTGATGAACCTGACGACAAGGTGACGATGACCGCCTTCTTGGGTGGCCTCCGTTCATCCAGATTCCTTTTTTCAGTAATAAAGCAACCACCAAAGAGCATGCCAGAACTATTCACAAAAGCTCAAAGATATATGAATGCTGAGGAAATCAACAAGTTTAGGCAAGGTGAATCATCTCACAGATCACCAGAAACTTGACCTGCCTCTGCACTGTTCTCAAACAGGCAGCCTATCTCCAGTTTAGCGGTTCTCTCACGGGTCGCCAAAAAACTTGGCCTGCCTCTGCACTGTTCTCAAACAGGCAGTCTATCTCCAGTTTAGCGGCTCTCTCACAGGTCGCCAAAAAAAATTTTGGCCTCTGCACTGTTCTCAAACAGGCAGTCTATCGCCAGTTTAACGGCTCTCTCACGGATCGCCAAAGCTAGGTCTCAAAAAGTGTAGCTCTCTCACGAGCAGTTCTCTAACTCTGTCTTCGCTCTCGCACAAGCAGCCTACTTCTCTCTCTCCAGGTAATTATGTGAGATATTTTAATGTTTGGAATAACATTATTTTTGTCATCTCAAGCAGGCTCTCCCGAGGCAGCCCCAGGCTCACCCAAGGCGCCCAGCACCTGGAGAAGGGCTTGATCATCAAGAGCAGCACCCAAAGCTTCCTTACTACTTGCAATGTCTAGCCCAACGCCTAGAAGTGTGCCTGACTGTTGTTGCTCGTCAAAACAAAGTTGCCCAGTAGCTTGAAGGGTGTCTGGCCCTTCAAAATTGCGCAAAACAGAATTTTTGGCGTAAAAATCAGCACCTAAGACGCCCAAATCAGCACCTCGAGTGGGAATCAAATTAGCCCGTGCTCCCAGGCCACTGCCTAGCTCTCCCTGATGAACTTTGGACTGATTTTCAGCGCTCCTTGATGGAAAAATGCTGCTGCCCAGCGTTCCAAAACCGCCCAGCGCAGCAGGTCTGAAGCTGTCCGGGACAGCAGAAGCAGCAGCTAGGCTGCTGCCCAGCGCACCTGGGCTGTCCAGGACAGCAAGGCCAGCGCCCAGGCAGCTGCCCAGCGCGTCTGGGCTGTCCAGGACAGGAGGAGCAGAGCCTAGGCAGCCGCCCAGGCCCCCAGCACCTAAGCCCCCAGCGCGCGCAGAGCAGCCGCCCAAGCCCCCAGCGCGCGCGCGAGCGCTGCTCAGCCGTCTCCCTGCGCTGCCCAAGCCACTCCTCGCGCTACCCATCTTCCCTTCGCTGTCCAGCCCTTCATTTTCAGCCCCAAAGCTGTCCAAGACATTCGAATGCTCAAAACTAGCCTCCAAGTTCTCCAAAATGGTGCCTACTTCCTCCCTTTCTTCAACCTCCACCACTCTCTCTTCAATCGACATTGTTCACTTGAGAAGCTCAACTAGCAAGGAAGAAATCACACTCTTGAAAGGATTCAAGGAGAACACACTTTGGCTTCAACAAAATGGGTAGGACTTGAGTTCTCAAAATTTTCAAGAGGTGGGTGTTCAACCTTAAAAATAAGTGAAATGGGTAACATGAAGAAGAAGACTATATTTATAGTCTAGGGTTTTTCAAAAAGAGGAAAAAAACCCAAATAGAATATTATGGGCCCTCTTCAAAATAAAGTTGTCAAATAAAAATTATGGGCCCTCTTCAAAATAAAGTGGCCAAAAAGAAAGTTATAAGTCATTTTCAAAATAAAAAGGCCAAACAGAATATTATGGGCCTTCTTTAAAATAAAGTGGAAAAGACTTGAAAATAAAAAAAAAATAAAATAAAATCAATGCCTCCTTCTCCAAGTCTCCTTGGACATGGGGCATTGGGGGGCAAATGATGGGTTAAGCCCAAATAGTCCAATTTATGTGTTAAAGTCCAACCCCAGTTGAGGAGCCCAACCTCATTTTGATTCCACCAAGTCCAAGACAGTCCAAGACCGGTTAGACTTCTTGCTTAGCACGTCATCAAGAGGAGAGCACGGGAAGCTTATCTGCACCACCAAAGGAAACGGTCCAAATCCACCAAGTCCAAGACAGTCCAAGACCGGTTAGACTTCTTGCTTAGCACGTCATCAAGAGGAGAGCACGGGAAGCTTATCTGCACCACCAAAGGAAACGGTCCAAATCCACCAAGTCCAAGACAGTCCAAAGCCGGTTAGACTTCTTGCTTAGCACGTCACCAAGAGGAGAGCACGAGAAGCTTATCTGTACCACCGAAGGAAACGGTCCTATCTTTGACCACGTTTCATGAAGAGCTCCCCAACCTCCTCCTTCTGTTGAGGATAAGTCGTAATCTCTACCAAGAATAATCTTTTAGCTGCGATAAAGAAGCCTTGAGGATATGTCATGATCTCCAGGAGGATGATCTCTTAGCTGCTATAAAATAGCTCCAATCTGGTAGAAGAGAGAGATCACGCCCCACGAGAGACCGACAGAGGACGAACCGACTACCGGAGATTACTATTTTCTTTGATTCTCCATTCTCTCTCTCAAAGCTTGTATCTCCATTCTCCATACCTTTGAATCAATAAAATACCCGGCAACTGAAGCCATTGAAGAATGGACGTAGGTCGAATTGATCGAACCACTATAAATTGTGTCTTCTTCAATTTTTTCATTGATTTCATTGCATTTATTATCTACACTTGACTGATGGTGTGCAAAACCATTTTTGTGCATCATCAAATTTTTAAAAAAATTATTGTGTCACTATGAACAGAAATAAATAAAAATTAATTTGAAAGTGTAAGATAGAAATGTTAATTGAGTCGAACGTAAAATTCAATTTTCGATTTGATGTGATTATGATTAAAACTCAAATTGAACTAAATTTGACTATTCTTTATACTCGATGCCTGATCACCAACCCATGTTCTATATTCATCTATGTCCAAGATTAGACGCGACAGGCCTTACACGGTCAGATTGGCACAAACTACCCTGGGACGGACCAGAGTGAAAGGTGGTCGGTCACTGGAGCGTTTCCTTATTTTGGCTGCAGCTTTGATGGCGAGGGTGGGCAGGCTGCTTGAAGGGGAGTGAGTAGCAGTGGATTCAACCAACATATCGTCGCTCACAGGCGGCGTAAAGTAATCAATCCATTTATGAAATTGTATGATTCCTATTAATCTCCAGTCAATCCAATGCCTCTTTGCCCCATCTTTCATAACCACACAGTTGGTATGTTGTTTCAAGTAGCCACCGATCTATCAAATAAAGAGATCCCAATCTTCTCGCTAAACGAATCCAACCTTGCCTCATCTTTCTTACCACGGATAGTCTCTACCCATTGGACATCCTTGTCTACGTGGCACAATAAAAATTTAAATCAACATTCTTTGAATACTCATCCTATGTCACCAGTTGCTCATTTCAGAGATCGAATAATAATAACTTGCAAGCAATCACACAAAATGAGGAGCATCTGCAATGCATGCAACCTTACATAATTAAATGTGGGATGCACAGTGAACGGAGAGGCCTTGTGTGCAACTAGATATACAATATACTCAGCTAAACAAAATAGCGATGATGGCAATCTTCGAAACAACAGTTCACAGCAAGCAATAGACAGAAAACAACAGTTCACAGCAAGCACTAGACAGGAATCATCAGAAATACACAATTTTGTTTATTTACTTTTTTTTTTATCTACATAATGTTGGTCAAAACCAACAAAATAGTTGTCCCTGCAGAAATCAAATACCATTAAGCCTAGATAATGGCATGTACAAGTATGCTGACTGATCATAACAAAATACAGATAGTTAAACCTTTATGTACGAACAATAGCACTACACACCAGTATACTCATTCAGTCTACAGCCGAATGGTGCACATAACTGCAGTTTTAAAATCCAATGGTTGATGCAAAGGCGGCTTTGTGACTAAGGATCTCCATGTCTTCTTTCTAGGATGATATATTTGTATGAACAGTGTTGACCTCTTTTGCTGTCTTGACCTTTGTCTCTCTGTTGAATCAATTTCACTTAGAAGGGTCATTATGTGCAGCTCCCCATTCAATGCAACAAATCCAACTGATAGGTCATTGGTGGCCCTTCTTGGAACCCTCGTCTCCTTCCACCAACAGTTAGAACCCATGTCATACCTAAGATATAGTGGATGAAAGATGTAAATGAGACTCCCAGAGAGATCATAACAAAAAAGAGAGAAAATATAACTCCAATCAGGTTTGGATCAAGAAAAAAGGTGGTGGATAATCAAATCAAAAACTTAGAAGAAATGAAAACACATCTTGAGGTAGCTGTTCTGGTTTGCCATGAAAACCTGGTTTAGCATGCTGATTGGTGATCAGTTGGTACAAACTGAAAGGCAAATTCACAAGCAATCCCATATGAAGGCCACCAACTTGCACAGAACTGGGTGCACAATTCCCATTAAAGAAAGAATGCAGAAAAAAGCAAGCTCAAACCCCCAAAACTGCCTGTCTAGTATCTATCTACTCACAACAGTTTTGAACTTATACATATGTAACATTTATTACATGTATGCAGTTTTTCATAAAGGTTTAAAGCAATAACTTAATCAGAGAGTCATAGAAAAACTCTTAGAGGATCTTTCTCGAAGGGCTTCGACAGCATAAAATTCATATACATTATTCTAAGCATCAAGAAACAACAGAAGCAGCCAAGAATTAAGATGCCACACTAAAGCACAAAGAGAATGCAATTACGATGGTAGGCATGTTAGGTTACTAGAGCTAGGCAGTCTTTAAAATCATCAAAAGTGTATGTGCTGTTGGAGATGGATCGGATCTTGCGGCCTAACGGGTATGCAATAATCAGAGAATCCAGCTATTTTGTGGATGCTGTTGCTACCATGGAAAAAGGGATGAGGTGGGGCTGTCACAAATAAGACACCGAATATGGTGTTGAGAAGGAGAAGGTATTGATTTGCCAGAAGAAACTCTGGTACTCCTCTAAGCAAAGTTCAAGATGAGAAGACAAAGAAAAGCAAGTTGGCAATATATCTCATGGAGAAACCAGTAATATTTATAGTACCATCAGTAGAAGAGAAAAAAGTTCCATCTCCATTCACAGAGGAAAATCATCAAAAGTGTATGTGGTGGTTGCAATAAATGCCCTGATGGAAGTAATAATTGAATTGACAATCCTGATTGTGCTGGCAAAAGGTGGTTGCAGCAGAGTAATAAGAAATAAGCAGTGATGGTGGTTGGGTAAACAATGTGGTGGCAACAGAAGTAAGGCAGTGCAAGGCGGGTGTGCAAATGTACAGATTGGATTTCTTTTTGCCCTTTTCTTTTCAGGAGAGAGGGGGTTCTTGGTGGCTTTCTAAGCCACACATCCAAATATACTGGGCCTCTTCAGATGAAAGGATCCTAGATCTCAATGCAAGCATGCACTCCAAACACAAGATATGGGATGCAGAATCACATGCCCTATGGACATGTGGTTGCAATGTAAAGTCCGAATGCATATAATCAAACCCAAGCTACTTGTGTCCGGTAAGCCGCAACTCAAACGTATAACCTCAAGGTATAACTGCCCCAAGGCCTATTTTTCCTTCATAAAGTTCTACCAATAATTGGATTTCCTATGAAATATTCATTGATCCTTTAACATTCTGTATTTTTATGCCTAAGTGGTTCTAAGAAAAGTCAAATTGATGCTAAAATTAAAATCCATCGCCTAAAATGTTCCATCTGCATGAAATAACTGTTAAATTATACTTGACATAAATTGATCGACAGCAATCCCGTAAAAGTATAGTTGACACTTAAAAACAGCTGGTGATTCCTTGAGTTTCCAACCTCAGAGATGGTTGAGCTTCACAATACAAATATGACTATCTCATGGCCTGGTGAAGTCTCACGCAGAATAAATCAAATCCAAAAAGACATTTTGGAATACAATGAGTGACCATTGAGATGCCAAAGTTTATTAAGTTTGAGATTGTACAAACCATCCGGTTACAGACATACCAATCAATATGAGCAAACTATCATAACTTCAAACAGCAAAATGACTAAACTGTGCTCCAATCCTTGAGCAGCTAGGAAACCCAAAACGGATACAAGTGAAGGTAGATACATTTCTTCAGTTTAACAAAATTTACTATACCAATTAAGCCCAATTCATTATATCTTTCACAATGGATGATCACATAGCCCTAACTGTAGCAGAAGACATCACTGAAGAAAAACTTCAATCACTATCCGAATAAAAGAACTATTAGCATCTTCACAGTGCATAAACATAAAACAGTACAACCTTACCTAAAGATATAGCTCCTGTCAAGCATGAAAATCCCAGGAACATCCCAACCCTCATCCTCCACAACGACAATTTTCCCAAGCCGCCTCCTTTCCCCATCTCCCCACATATCCCCAAGCTCCCTCCACTTCCCACCATTCTTCAAATCCATCACCACAGCATCTCTGTAATACTCATCCACAGGAAACACACCTGAAATAGTCCTCGACTCACCATAGCCTCCCATAACCCAAAACTCTCTCTCGTCCCCACTTCCAACCAAGAACCCAACACACCCAGCTCGAAACCTTGGCAACCCATCCAATGGCACCCACTCATCCTTCCCGATGTCATACATCTCCACTGAATTCATTCTACTCCCAGCTGCCCCAAACATAGTGTGCCGCGACCCACCACCGGCAACAAGAATTCGGTCTGAATTCGGGACTGCCGTGCAGGCAAAGCTGCCTCGAGGTGATATCATCGGGGAAAGCCGGTCCCATGATGAAGTGGAGAAGTCGAATCGGAATGTGGAGGAAGAAGGGGAAGGGCGATGGAGGGGGAAGGACCGGGTGTCGAAGAGGGACCCACCAAGGACGTACAAGTGGAATCCAATTGAAATTGAGGTAAAATTGCAGAGCCCATATACATGAGGGTTACAGGGCATAGGAGGAAGAGGGCACCAAGCAAGATTTTTGGGGTCGAATAGGTAAGGGGATGTAGTTTGGGGATCTTGAGGGAAAATACAGAGGAGCTGAGAGAGTTTGGAAAGTGAGAGGTGTTTTTGGCGAATTGATATTAGGGCTTTGGATGAGAAGAAGATTTTCCACGATTTGCAGGTGGGTTTGAGACGAGAATGATGAGAATAGGGAACGAATGCGAGGATTAGAGCGGCTAGGTCGTTTGGGAGGCCTGGAATTAGGTTTAGGGTTAGGGTTTGGATCTGGGATTCTACGCTGGAAAATGAAGAAGATGCCGGAGACATCTCTCTCAATCCGATCATCTGAATCAATTATGCACAATATCTATCTTGATAGTCTGAATCAATTCCTACCTTGTACAATCTCTATCTATGGTGAAGACATATATATATATACATCCACACACATGATACTCTGAATCACTCATCTATCCAAACAAACACACACATACACACACTCAAGACTCGGCTAAATCGACTTTCTCTATGCAAAACCTCAGATTCGTACACACACTCAGATTTGTTCCATAAGCCCCTCTCTATCTCTCTCTCCACTGCCAAATTTTATAGCCTCAGGACAGGAGAACAAGTCCGCTACAGAAATTTTCCATTTGGCTGTTTCTTCCTTTACAAGATTTCGACCTTTCCAGGAAAATTTGAGAAGAAAGAAAAAGAACGCCTACTTTTTGGTATAAAAAATGTACAGATATTTGCCACGTATCCTTGTCTATTCGAGGCTCTGTTTGGTTAGCTAGAAAATGCACGCATCCATTTAACTTGTATAAAAAGGAAATTTGTTTAAAAAATTCATTCATAAAAACGTTTTTTAGTCTGATTAACTAAAGTTAAAAAATAAATTGATGAGATAGTTTTGAATTTTCTCTTAGTATGAAATTGTTTAAGTTTTCCACTTGCTTTTATATGGAGTTTGGCCAGATTTTTTAGAAATCTTGGCTGAAATTTCCATAATATAAGTGCATTTTGAAATAAAAACTTAAAGAAATATTTAAAACTAGTTTTTGCATGTGGCTGAAGGTACAAAATAATAAAAAATAATAAATAATAAACATATTTGTATTTATATTCAAAATCAAATCACAAACATAAAAAAAAAAAAATGAATAAAAGTATCGAATTTGTAATGGGGAGTAAAAGGTGGTGGGTGACAATGGTGGTGGCAAGGACGGTGATGATTTGTGGTGGTGGTGTGGCGATGGAGGTAGGGGTGGCAGTGGTGGTGGTGGTAGCAGTGGCAGCGATAACAATGGTGGTGGTGGTAGCAGTGGCAGCGATAACAATGGTGGTGGTAATGGTGGTGGCGACGGCGACAGCGGTGGTGATGAAGGCGGCGACGGTGATGGTGGTAGTTGTGGCGGTGACGGTGGTGATAGTGGCGACGGCGGAGGTAGTGGTGGTGGTGGAAGGTGGTTTCAAACACTATTTTTTAAAAAAATATTTATGAGAAATAATTTTTAAAAGTACTTTTAAAAAGTCAATCAAAATACACCCTTAGAGGTCTATTTTTTCTATTAAATTTAAGGTGTTAATATTAACTGTTAGATTAACTTTAAAGTAAAATTTAAAACGATTTCAACCGCGAATAAAAAAAATCATTTTGTTTATCTTTTGAAATTTAAATCGTAAACTATTTTATTATATAGATATTAAAAGTATTTAACGGTGATTAGTACCAACGTATGTTCATAGCTTTTCCACATCCATTATCACTTCAATATTGCATAAGGATTAAATTGATTTTTTAAGCTATCTTGGTCAAGTCATAAACTCATTATCAATCATCATGCTTGCTTGATGCACGTTGTGAGATAAAAAACCAAAGTTGATTGATTGTAATATGAATTTCAAAATAAAATATTGTTGGAAGAAATGAATAATTTTTTTTTTTTTTGTTAGGGACAGGAGGTTAATCGGTTAGATGCACTTTGGATTTAAGTCAATAAATGCTTTGAGAATAAACAAGAAAGATCGTAAACCTGTTTAATAATCTAAATTCCGCATCACTTAATATTTTTAGCATTTTTTTTAAAATATGCTAAAATTTTAAATAGCAAATCACATATTTATCAATTAATATTGAAAATGTTAGTTAATATAATATATTATATAATTCAGCTTGATTTAAGTTTGAATTCAGTTCGATTTACACTTCTACCATTATCACCAGTGTTATCGCCATCACTATCACTATTACCATCACCCTTGTGTCAATGTCACTACCATTATTACCATTGTGTCACCACCATTATTATGTTACTACCACTGCCACTATCATCATTATCGCTGTCGCTGCCACTATTGTAATGGTGTTGGTAGGAATAAGGTAGTTGCGGTTAGACAATTAAAAAATAAGAGCAAATTTAAAATAATAATAATTTTTAAATTTCAACTCCTTATAGTTGTCAAATAGTTTGATTTAATTCAATACTTAAATTTCAATGTATATTAAATAGTTTGCGAATTAAATAATTCAGTATTCATCACTCAAAATTTAACATTCAATTTTTAGTATTTAGTTATAAGTTTTATTAAAAATCACCTTAGACTTGTTTTATACTTATAATCCGATTGGTATGATGAAAAATTTGAAGGATAAATAAAATCTCATGTTTGATAAGGAAATAAAATAGGAATGATGAAAAAGTTGATGGATTAACTTTTTTTTCAACTCATCAAAATCAATCTCTCTAAAATCGAAAAAAAAAAAGATAAAAAATTAATTATTTGTGTTGAAATGTATCTTATTTGTCTATATATCTTTTAATATATTCATATATAATGTATACATTAATTTCATATAAAAATATAGTGATTACATTAATGACACGAACTTGTTTATAATTGAACACAAACTTGAAAATAACCTGACATGCCAATAAAAAATATAAAAAACTTATAATTTTATGTACCACTACTTTTAATTTTGAATTCCTACAACATTGAACCATATATAGCATTGAACAATAAAGGCTCTTCACCGTTAAATACTAATAAGAGCATATTTAATTTTGACTTAAATTTTAATTTGAGTCAAGATGTTCTAAAAAAATTTTTCCACCTCATATCAAATCAAAATAAAATTTATTTTGGATCCAAATTAAAGAATATTCAAAACTTATTTCAAATTTTTAACAATAATTTTTTATCTTATCTAAATTCAAAAACTCTTTCGATAGAATAAATTCTTATGGTCCCTCATACAAAATTACTTTAGACAAAATTGAAGACAAAAAATATTGTTAGTTGAAGATCAACATCAACAGTGATTACCGGTCTCTAGAACACAAAATTGTCGCCTATTAATCTTGCCGAAAATCTTTTCCGGTGGATATAAAAAATTTCGTGTTGTTGTTTTACAATCTTTGAATCTTTTGTGTAGATTTGTGTAACCGTGGAAGTCAAGATTCTTACCAATCTCATTGTTCGTTCGATCTCTGGCGAATTCCCAATGTTCGGGCGCAGAACTTTTCCCGCGAATAGTAGAATTCAAGATTCGGGAAAGAATAAGGAATAAGTGAGTTCATATTCCTTATTCTTAGATAGCTGATCTTTCACAAGGAGAGAACTCATATCTATTGATTTTGATGAATTTATTCTCAGTCTGAAATTTCAGTTTGACGCTAATGACATGTGATCACGCACCTTCTTCATGGATACATCTTTTTCTGTAAGTATTTCATATTCTGTTTTAGTTTAACGGCTTGTTAATTTTGCGGGTTTAGGTCCTCATTATCATCGTTTTTAGAGCGCCCTTAAAGATAACTTATAGATTGTAATAAGACAATCCACAATTCTGCCAAAGATTATTTTTCTAAAACTCCACTGGCAAGGTTAGTCAAAAAATTGTCGAAAATTTTGATTGCCATTATTATTTTTTCTTTGGCAAACAGAGGAGTTAGGAGAAAATAAAAATGAGAAGAAATGGTACTGTATTTCTACTCTGTTACATATGGTATCAACCTAAGTTGCATGCAAAAACATGTGATGTTAAACTTGAACGCTTGATGTTATTGTAACAGTGTGACGGTGGTTGTGCTATAGATCTTGAAGCTCAGTGGTAGCTAATTCCCTTTCCAAGCAATAAGGGAGACGGGGTTGAACCCCAGCACTGATTTGGAATATTGAAAGTTCATGAGGTAAACTGTGATGTATTCTTTGACTTTCCTATCAATCAAATTAATATATTGGCATGTAAGACTGTGAATTATTTTATGTATATTAGATTCTTCAATCTCATATGAAAAGTTTTTCAATGCAGGACACCCCAGTTGATGTCAATGTAGATTCTCATATTTGGATTGAAGACCCAGCAATCACTTGAATTGATCGGCACCATCAAAGATAAATGGAGCAGAAGTTAAGACTCAGAGTCTCAGACTACTGATAGGAATATGGTGATTGAGCTCATAATTTTTCAATTAACTGCTGTTTCTCGGGAGTGAACATTTCTATTGAAAGATAAATTACATTTGACTCCCTTGATTTTGGCCCCAATCTCACTTTGCCCCCATCAACTACTTGAATTGCTCCAAAACCCAACGTTTGCCTTTTTAGGATAGCAAATGTCCATATGTGTAGAAAAATACAAATTTTCAATGTCTATAATTGGAGATAGTGAAATTAATGACCATAGTTGGTGGTGCAACAAAAAATATGATTCTTAAGGAAGTAATGTGAAATCAATAAGCATAGTTTAGAGGTGTAGTTTGAGAAATATGATAGTCGAGGGGACAGATAAGGGCATAGTTGTGGGGTCGAAGTCCCACTTTCTCAATATTAGCTCAGAAATCTTAGTCTGTTACCGCAAGCTTCATATCTTTGGCTTTGTGAACTTCTTTTGTTTAGAAAGAGGACATGGTGAGTTTCTCTTGAAGATAAATGCTTTACTAGAATTTTTCTGGTCTTTTTTCATAGAAGCCAGTGGGCTATTAGACTAGTATAAAGATATTTATTGTTTTTTGTACTTTTTGGTACTGGGTGTATAGATATTTCAAGTATGCAAAGACATCAGTAATACTTTTGAGAAATAAGCAAATGACTTAACCTTGCTTCTAGTGTTTTTGAGTCCAAATCATAAAGTAGACAAGGTTGGGAAGAGTACACTGTGGCGGGTATATCTGATATGCAGTTCTTCATATTCTACAAATTCAGGTTTGAAAATAGAATGGTGTCTGGTAAGTAAATCGAAACAATAGAGCTCCAAATGCTACTCAAGAATTACCCGCTCCTACTAAGAGCTGTATTTAGCTTATAGTCTATATATAATTTTGAAGGTTACTCTAAATATAAATACCTTTTGAGTTTATTGCTGTGATTGTTATTTTCATTGTTTGCTGCATCCTGTCATTCTAGGACTTCACTACTGGACAGGTGTTCAAATTATTTTTCTTAGTTATTTCCTATCCCATGCTAAATAATTAGCAAAATGAAGAGTTCAATAATATCTTTTTTTTTTTTTGGAGGGGGGGGAGAGGGAAATTAAGCTGTTTTACATTTCTTTTCTGGAAATGAACCAGTCAGTCAGCTTTTATATCTGCAAATTAGTCACTTCTGTTCTTTTAGCATGTTCTTGTTCTTGTTTTTTTCTTCTTATCTTTATTTTTTTGATAATTCACTGAATATCAAAATAAGCAGCTTGTGTTCTTAAAAGTTTTTCCTCATAAAAGGGGAAAATGTCTACCTGTCACTTTTTAGTTTTTACGTCTGGAAGTTAATTGTGTCTTTGCATTGCTAACAAAATACATGCTGTTTGTCCTATCAAAGTAAAGAAAGTATGTGCTGTATGTTACAGTATTTTCCGTTTCCATTTCACAAATCAATATGTAATACAGTAATAGTTCATGTTCCTATCCTGGTTGATGATTGACGAAAATGCAGCAGATCTGATACATTCCTTAATTTCTTAGTGTTCTCATTTTTTTCTCTTTATTCTTCACCTTCTTTTCTTACTGGCTAATAAAAAAAGTGGAAAAAAAGCTTATTGGCTGATATAGTGCTATGATATTCTGGGAAAATTAATGTGCCTGTCCCTTGTTTGTTTTTTTTTTTTGATAATTAAAAATAAGATTCAAGAGTGCCTGACCTTTGTTAATGATCAGAAAACAGATCTACTCAAGATGTATTGTTAGTTTACATATTAATTATTGATTCTCTATGCTACTTGTCAAAAAAATGTAGTATCTTTGTCAAGCTGAGTCCCTTTTGATTTGGCAACTTCTTTCACTTATCCACTTTCAATGCTGAGGACGATAAAGGATATTCATTTCCCTGTTAATTGCAAGTTTTCTTCCTACCACTTTTGCCAGGTTGTCACAAGTTGGTCAGCAATTTATTGGAAGGTAGGAGCTCCTGCTGGTGGAGTTGATGACATGACCAAACTATCATATTTGGTCGAGCCTAGAGTTTTGCAGAGTTTGGTGATTCCATATTAACTCAGTGCAATCTATTTCCATAATTTTTACCATAAATTTATATGTTTACTTAACTTCTGATCACCTGTGAAAGAAAGCAATGAATTACAGCAGCTCTGGGAACTCTGCCATAACATTATATCATACTCCCGACATTTATGGCAGAAGTATACTGGAGCTATTCTTATTGCCGTTAATGTATTCGACAATCTGCCTGAGTTGTATGATGCTCATGAGACGGGGGAACAATACAAGGGAGCAACATTTGGAGAACTGGGTCCTCATGTTTAGGCAATTGCAGCTATTGCTTACAGGTATCTCTGTATTCTGGTTAAATATTACAAATTTCTTCCTTAAAAGGATGATGCAATTTGTCCACTAAGTTGCTTCAAATGAATCAGGGCAATGATCAACTAGGGAAAAAATAACTCCATATTGGTAAGTGATGGGGAAGTGGGGCTGATAAGACAAACCACCAATTGTTTTTGTGCAACTTTGCCAATTTGGGTGGCTGTAAAGGCACTGAAGAACGGACTGTGGAACAGAAAGTTCCAAAATGCTTTCTTTCTGCAACTCGTATAATTTAACCTTGTATCTTCTTTTTCCAGATGTCCCTGTTTCTGTTTCGCATTCCATCGAGTTTTTGTCCAAAGTACCTTACTTTTCCGACAATATTCTCATTTTACCCATTCATTGAAACTTATTTCCAAATCTACCCTTATTTTCACACGTAAAAACTTTCTCAGTGTTTTGCAATTACGCTTATTATTACTGTGAAAAAGCATGGCTTCATACCCCACTTTCATAAAACTAATGGTAGATTGAGAAATAAGTTACAAACTAAGATAGTTAGAGAAAAAGGATTGAAATCACTGTAATTTGGATAAAGATTCCTCTTTTATCAACCTGCAAATACCCCCAGTTTTTGTGTGCATCTGTGGGTATACTTCTGAGATTTTTTTTGTGGGTTAAAAGTTGTTTTATTTGATACTTACTCCTCCTGGTTGCATCCTTCTGCTGAGTACTGCTGTTCATTGAGTAATGGTGACTATGTGTAGGGAGGATTAACTGAATTGGAGTTTGGTGCTACAAGGATGCTGATGAGGTAACTTTATTTTGATTCTTATTCACCTGGTAATTTTTCTTTGATTGTTATTGGGGACTAAAGAATTTTTTTTAAAAAAAGGTATGCAGTATCAGTTTGGGATGGGCTCATTGTGTTCAATAAAGTATAGATAATTAGATTAAAAAGAAATACAGATAATTTATAATTAGGAAGCAATCAAACCTTTATAGTGAAATGTTACCACTCATCAGGTTGAAAAAAATTGAGTGATGTCTAAAAATTGTGTGATATACGGTATTTTCAATTTCTTTCATCACAATCCTACCATACCTATTGCTACATGCTTTAGGTTTAATATGTGCTAAATTAAATAGGATGAAAAATTCAAATTTAAAGTAATTTTGTGGGAATAGTTACATGAAATAATTTAATTTGATAAGATCAATGCATTAAACTCTAGTAATTGATGAGATAACGAGGGCCAGGTTGGTGGGGAGCTTGAACTGGGTTGAGATTTTATTCAGAGTAGGCTTCTGAGAAAATTAAGAACTGATAAAGACAGTGAGAGACAATCATGTATAAATTAAACATATTTAAAATATCAAAATTTTTAAAAATTAGTATCTAAGATTTGAAGTTCATATATCCAATTATATCCAATTATCATGTCTCAGAAAGAAAAGTTGTCTCTCCATAAATCATGTCCAACAAAATCATTCAGTTCACAAGTGTAAAAGCAGAAGTTCGCATGCCTAACTGCTTCTAGCCAAGTCAGAAAACAGAGTTCACATGCGTAAATGCAATTAACAAAGGCAAAAACAGCCAGTCAAAGACAGAATTCACATGCAAATTCCACAAAAAGGAGAAAGTAAAAGAAACTACTTGACAGAAAAGAAATGTAAATGATAGGGAAGAATATTCTTGTAATAAAAAATTGGATAATCAAGCACTGTTTAATACAAAATAAAGGTAATTGAAAATTAACTTACAAATAACTGAAATTAACTTATAAATATATAACTGGAGAATGTTCTTTATTTGCTTCATATGAAGAAATGTTTACAATGGGGCAATAGAGAGGTTTTTTCAGAGATAGGCTATCTGTATGGCTATCTATTTTTTCTCCCATCTGCAAATGAATAAAATCCTTATATAGGCATAAGGATTTTTCATGAGAATTTGCTGAATGATTTCTGTTCTGTCAAGTAGTTGCTTTTACTTTCTCCTTACGGTAGAATTTGCATGTGAATTCTGACTTTGTGAACTCTGCTTTCTAACTTGGCTGGAAGTAGAATTTCTGCTTTTATGCATGTGAACTGCAGATTCTGTGACTTTAGAACCCATTTGGTTAAAGTAATATGGTTTCTGTGGGAGGATGGCATCTTTTGTCTTCCATTGATATTTTGTTACTACATTAACTGATTTGTAATAGTTTTCTAAATAATCAAAGAAATAGATTTCATTTCCTATTTCTGCCATGAACTTGGTCCATTTAAAAACTATTTTATCTTTCTTATGTTTATTATATTTATTTTGGAATTCTTGTCCTTTGACCTTATGTTTTATTTTTTTTTGACTTGGATTCTGTTTGTAAAAATGGTTACTAATTGTTTGTTTACTACATTACCTTCCATACTAGTCAGTGAAGGAGAAACTGAGAGTTTTCATCCTTATCCTCTTTTGAAAATTTTGACTGAGTGGTGTATCATGGTTTTACTAATTTGTGAAGAGGTAACTATACCTTTCAATTTCAATTTATTATTTATTTCTTTTGCTAAGCCTTGATTTCTTCAAGATATACTACTGTATGCCAACTTTCTTCCTTCATTAATTTGAAGTGGTTTATTTGTTCTTCTATCATCATAATTGATTCTTACTGATCCATCAAGATATTGGTGGATATAATCTAAATTAACTGTAATATTTTGGAGATTTTGATGATAACTTTCATTTTCAAGAATCCAACTGGTCGGAAGATTAATGTCTTTCCAATAGAGTTGTCTTGAAACTTGGATATTAACTTCACTAGTACTACTTTGAATTAACAAAGTTTTTGTTTTTGCGCTTTTACTTAATGCATGGACATTTAAATTAGATGTAATCCATTTGTGATAAATTCTATAAATTAGAACTATGGATTGACTTCCATCTTCCATGTTGGTGTACTCACTTGAAGTCTTTATATTCAGGGTTAAAGCTTTTAACAAATTAATGTCACTAAGACTTAGAGTAAAGTTTGGGAAGAATTAAAATACATTGGCCCATTATGAAGGCTTGATTCCATTATACCTAAGATACTTGTGCTATAGTTTTTAAATCTAGCATCTATTAATCATAATAGGATTGAAGAATTAATTCATCGAGTGGTTAGTGGTTTAACCGCAACTTGAATTAATCCAATATGGATAAAGTTATATCCTTTTTACTTATGTTTTATACCTGATTCTTTACTAAGAAGTGTAAAAGTTTCATACTCTTTGGTGAAGGCATAAACTTGTTTAATAGTTTTTACTTGAAGTTTGTATTTGAAGGCCGTTGGTAGCCAACTTGTTTTGTAGATTTCTTTTACTGGTATTTGGGGTATATTCCAATTACGCTGTGCAAAATAGTAAATAACTTGATATTTATATTTTTGGTGATAATAAAGGATAAATATCTGATTTAGAAAACAAAAAAATAGTATCCACCATAGCGATATGCAACTAACTTCATTACCATGCTTTTTTCAAAAAATTGAATCTTTATTCATGCACAATAAACAATAAATCCCAAGATTTCTCAATTGCCACCATAGAATTAAAAGGTCTACAACATTTATCCAATACTTTATACAACAATCTATTGAAAAAAATAGAAAACTAATATGTGATCCTGGAAGAAAGAAAGAAATGAATAAAAAGTAATCCGTAATTTTGAAAGGAAAGAAATGGATGAAAATGGGTTACCGTAAGCCTAATGGAGATTTAAAGGCTTGACTATACAACTTCACTGAAAAACAATCCCAAGTATGCCTCCATACATACCTGAAAATCATATAAGCAACAAAAAAATCAATTACACACAACCCCAAACATGCCTCCATATAAACGCGAGTGTTGCATGGGTTGTGTGTGAGTGCAAGAATGTGTAAGTGCTACTATTCAGTGAGTTGTAGAGTCAATGGGTGTGATTTTTGTGCCTCTGGATGTTTGTGTGTGCGGGAAAGCGAGAGAAGGAGAGAAGGATACCTAAATTTGGGCATCACTAATGAGGGGTTACTCGATGATGGGTTGCTATTTCATTGATTGTGGCTCCATGCTATTTCATTGATTGTGGCTCCATACAATCAAGGCTAGGTGAGAGAGAGAGAGAGAGAGAGAGAGAGATCAGAGTCATGCATGCAAATTTTTGAAACAACTTGAACTAATAGGCACTATAATGCACGATAAAATTAAAAAAAAAAAAAAAAGGGTGATGTCATTGAAGGTCTTGTTAAGAAAATCATGTTGTCACTTAATCTTTTTTTATTGTTCTAGTCAATAACCAATCCTTAAAATGATTGCCAAAAATGCTTGATAGAATCACCCAAAGGTAGAGAAGCACATCAAGGGATATGGACAACCAATAAAATTACCACAAAGCAAATTCAAGAAAATGGAAACAAATTTTTAGTGGATTTGTGTGTGTGTGTGTGTGTGTAGGAAACAAATTTAAGAAAATGGAAACAAAATTTTAGTGGATTTTAGAAAAGAAAATTACCACAAAGCTAGGAAGGAGAGTTTTAAGTTGAGCGAATATGTATATATTTGTGAGTATGTGTGTGTGTGTTGTAGGTTTTGAGATCGTATGATTTGCCAAGGTGCGATGCTGACATTAATGACCAAGAAAGTAAAATTTTGGGATGAATTTTATCTGTTTGATCATTTTAGATCAATTTAGATTGATCTCAACCGTTCTTGTGGTACCCTAAGTTTGTCGTTTCAACAATTCGTACCTGAAGGTACGATACAATATTAAAAAATTGAGCTTATATAAAGAGTAATTAAGTATCTAGGAATGTAAAATGCAACAAAATACAACACTATCGTCAAAATTCACCTTAAACCATTTAAAATAGGTTTTTTTGCTCACCTTAACTTGTCGACCAAAAGTCATTATATTCCATGATCTAATCCAAAACGCTTATTACAAAATTCACAAAACCAATACGACCATATCACCATTCCACTTTGCCAGTAGAGAACAT